TTATTACGCCGACAAGAAAACACAAACAAGATGACAGTATCAATAGGAATGTTATTGGATTCTACATGATTTCCTAAACGGGGATTTATTTTGCAAACTTTCAATCTTAGGCGTTTTCTCCTCGACAGTTGCCCTACGAGGTGGCTTTTCACGTCGCTTTTCCAATCCGTCGTCAATACAGACGTCATTTTCGGCTCTGGTTGTGGCCAAAAAAGGACGTGCAGCCATGAGTGCTACCGCAAAGCAGTGTCGGAGAAGACTCTAAAGTAAACATGCCTTATTATAAGGAAATATGGCTTTGAAGCGTCTGTGTACTGGTCTCGCTTCTACTTGCGGGTTACTGCTCGTGGGTAAAATATAACAGTGATTCAATACGAATTATCTATACTGCTTTCTTGGAAATGTTTCTGAAAACTACTCGCATAAAATTTCAGAATGGAGCGGTTCCGCTTGAGGCGGCCCACCCACTTACGTCTGCAAGGTTGGCCCTCGCTCAGCGATACATCCCGCGATTGACTGAGATGTGGGATCCCCTACGGGTGTAGAGAGCAAGGGTCCACTACCGTTCAGGAAGACGAGTTTCTCCACTTGAAAAGAGGCAAGACAGGTGCGTTAGGAGCTTGCGACGGTCAGAGACTTTACCCATGTCAGTTAGATGCTCACGGGCGGAGATGTGCTAATGTGGCGCTGCGAACTATTTCTTCAGTTGATTGTCTCTTCCTCGGGCTTGTCGGGCCTGTCCCCGGCGCGCTGAGCAACTTGGCGCTTCTTTTCACAAGACGCTGGAAATCATCTGAGCTACCTGGGTTGTCTGCGACATTTTCTCCGCATTTTTGTCCATTTACAAGTCAACAACCCGCTCAAATTCATGCCTGTACGATTTTCAATCGTGGGTTGTCTCTCTTGACTACTCTCCATTTCCTAGGAGATGGGAAGGGCGTGGCAGCGTGTTTCATTCGGATATGACGTAGGATGCGTTTTTCGTGGGATAACCCCATTTGAGGCGACTGTTATCCTCTCTACTGCTGGGCAGAGACATGTTTACCGTTAGTTCACATTATCTCAAACGGGAGTTCCCCCCCCCCACTCCCCCTCCCCGAAAAAAGTGCAGCCGTAGCCAGCTAGAATAATTACGCACCCACCCAATAGACCGAGAAGAGGAAGAAATAAAGGGTCTTTACTCGGGATCAACGGTAGTACAAGTGAGAAGGGGAGCTACGTAAGCTGAAGACCCATACTGAACCTCGCTGACAGCAGACCAATGCTTACTTCCACCACGACTACGCTAGAACAAAAATTGAAAGAACGACGAAGAGTGAGCTGAGGACGTACGCGTCCACCATCCTTCCACCACCCACCATACTCCCCGAATCTCGGACCCTCCGACACCACCTATTTTCAATCCTTCAGCGCCGTATAGATAGCGAAGATTTCAAAAGACGTGTAGACATCGAAAAGGAACTAGAGGCATTCTCAGAAGCTCAGGCAGCAGGAGGAAAGCGTCTATAATCCACCTGTACGCTGGAAGAATACCACAGGTAGTAATGAAGCATCTTTCAAATAATGTAGTGCTTTTTTCAAACTAATGTAGTGTTTTTATGTTTCATGTTGTGCTAGAATAATATTTGCCTCTAATTCATCACTATTTCCTCTCCAAACTTTTCCTACAGCCCCGTCTTCGCCCCAGGCACCGCCTGTAAACTAGTTGAAATTCTCTATTTCTAAGCCTTAAAACTCACTCTTCCTAAACCAGTTGATTCCATACATCGGAAGACTCGTGAGTTCCTTGATAATTCCTTTAGCTGTTTCATGACGTCATATGGAATAGGACCAATGTTTGGAGTGCGATAGGCCAGCAAAATCACTGGGCAGATCCATTCTTGCGAATCTATCTGAACTACAAGAGTGATACTACAAGAGTTCTCGGACAAATTCTGTATCGTTAGCACCTTTCTTCTAACAAATTCTATCTTCCTCAGAGCAAGTGATTTATCGTCTGTGCTGAGAGCGAATATTATTACGTGAGGTGATGCGAAAGAGTCGATAGAGCTGATAGAGTCGCAGTCGTCAATGTACGTCTAAAAACCAGAGTACTGTGGAAAAAATTCAAAGAACAGTCATCGAAAAAGCCAACGGAAGGCGCTGTGTACCTCAACAACGTCCATTAGATAGTTAGCCTCGTTGCTCTTTTTCTGTTTTTCTTTCATATTTAACGTCAGTCTGGCCATCACCTGACAATGATTTATTAAAGTACAATTTCCCAGTGTATATATACCTCTGAAAAAAAGATGAATGATTAAGGTGTTTGTCGTACGGGTAGGATCTAATCGAAATAGAAAATACGTCTAGCGATCACCTTACGGTATTATCCTTTACCAGGAAGCTTTCCTTAGTGGCATGGATTGTACTGGATTGTATGACTTTTCACAGAATGCAAATCAGTGACGAGTGCGTTAAGGTCCACTCGCCACACTGGCTAGAGATCCCACCCAGAGTTGGGGATATGCTGCGTTCATATCTAAGCAGGATGGTATCAGCCATCTCGCTTGTCTTTCTAGTCTCTCTCCTCTTGTTGCAGGTCTCTCTCTCCGCGCTCTCAGCGTCTCTGCACCTCTCGCTTCTCGTTTTATGCTGAACATCAAGTGAAAGCTTAAGGGCACCCGGGCGATTCTATCGTCGGCAAGTCAGGCGACGCCGCACGCCGCGCCGCGTCGCTGCGCGGCACGCCGCGACGCGGCAATCCCGGAGTTGCATTACCGTACTCCCGAGTTGTCATTGGAGCAACGGCCACAGCAAGCTGTGCCTCTTTCAAATTGTTAAATCGTCGACCCTTTAACAATTTGAACGCCACGCAACAAAACTCGTACGCGGCGGCCGCCACGCCGCCTCGCTCCGCCCACCGGCGCGACCCGACGATAGAATCACCACACACCCAAGCTTAAGTGAGGATATATTCACCGGTTTTGCCTGCCTTTATCTCTGTTGAAGAACTGAGGGACACCTGTAAACTCGCATCTAATTTCTTCATTTTTTATTTCAATTTTGAAATTACACTTCGCTCCAATAATTTAATGATACTCAATTTCGATAAATTTCCACCTCTTTCACATCAAAAAAGTAGCTCATGGTCTTGTGAAAATTCTAGGACAATATTTAATATTCCTCAACTGTAGTATGAAAGTATTTTGTTCGTTAGTTAATTGTGACAGCACACTGTCGTAGCATACGAGAAATTAAA